ATTGTCATGATTAATTACAAGAATTAAAACACATATTGAATTGCCCATCCATTATCAATTTGAGTGGACTTTAACCTATAAATTTTAAAATGATGTTATTTTTCTTTCCTAAAGTCTCATCATATTTTTTTACATTCTGATGTGACAATAGAAATCTTTAAATTCATTAGTTATCTAATAATTATTGGCCAATTCTATCACTAATTAAAAAATAAATAAATTAATTAAATAAAAAAAAAAAAAAAAACAATCAACACATAAGAAAGTGAATATTATGAGAGTAATATAATATCACTTTTAATGTCAGATGTTAGAAGTAGGGGTGAGCGTTTTGAGATTCAGTTTGTTTTTTTTTTTCGATTTTGGTTTCAGTTTCGGTATTTTAAAAAAATGATACCATTCGATTTAACATTATAGTTCGGTTCGGTTTGAAAATGTTTAATTTCAGTTTGAACTTTTACCAATGCACAAAAGCATCTATATACATGCACAAAAGCCCTCATCCGGTGAGGACCTGCAGGCGAACTTGTACGTAAATGCACAAAAGCATCTACATAAATGCATACAATCTCATATTCCAAAGTGCACAATGCACACAATCTTCCCTGTAATAGTTTGTGTGCATTTATGTTGGTTTGTATGTTTTCACGGGAAGAGGAGTTCTCATTTGAGGAGCGTTATGCTGTGCAACCGTGTGCATCATGCATAGTGCACACGGTTGCAAAAATGGCGTCGTTTTGACGTCCGACTTAAAAAAAAAAAAAAAAAAATCAGAATTGCATAACTACACACATCCATAACTTCATAACTATACATCCAGAATTGCCTAACTACACATCTATAACTTCATAACTATAAATCCAGAATTGCATAACTACATATCCATAACTTCATAACTATATATTCATAATTACATGCATAACTACACATCCATAACTTCATAACTATACATTCAGAATTACATGCATAACTATACATCCATAACTTCATAACTATATATTTAGAATGTGAAATTATAACTTCATAACTATACATTTAGAATTGCATGCATAATTACACATCCATAACTTCATAACTATAAATCCAGAATTGCATAACTACACATCCATAATTTCATGACTATAAATCAAGAATGTGAAATTATAAAATTATGAACATATGTTTACGTAACTAACGGTAATCAAAAATGATTTTTTTTTATTTAAGTAAAACGACGTCGTTTTTGCATCCGTGTGCACCATGCATGATGCACACGGATGCACAACATAATTTGCCTTTATTTGATCATTAATATATATATATATATAATGCATTTTGTTATTTATTTATTTTGATTACAATTCTTATTTACTACCGTAAATTCATTAACATTATCAAATATTTGATTCCAATTACTATTTCAATTATTCCAATGTTTGAACACCCCTTAGTTTGAGAACAAATATTTTTACCAAATATAAGATACATAATATGATGGAACAAATAATGGGTTATAGTCGCTTAATCGACAATTGGCTCGTGACGGTGGGTAGGGGTTGGACTTATGTATATACGGAGTAATTAATTTTCTTAGATGTTCATTTTATTACACACTCTCTCATATAATTTTGGTATAGATATATATTTAAAGTTGTGAAATCATGTTAACCGTGTGTAAACTTGTACAATTCATAAGTATTTAACGATCGAATATCAATGTCTACACTTGTACAATTCATAAGTATTTAACGATCGAATATCAATGTCATCCTGCAAGTCGTGCATAAACTTATGTTGGAATCGTTGGTAGAAAAATCAATAATAATCAAAAGAAATATGATTATTATTTTCTGAAAAACAAGAGAAGGTAAGATGGAGGATTTTGGCTCATGTTTAGTGTTGGATTTTTGCAAGAGTCAAGCGATCACTCTTTCCTTAAAACCTTATTTGCCACCTCCAAAAGATGTTAGGAGCGTTGTGGCCTAGGCTTCCTAAGATAAAACTTGCTTTGATTCAATGTTTGAGCATTCAAACAAAGAATCCGGCAAGCAAGACAATGGTTATGAACACAGTAGGCTAAAGAAGGAGTAAAAGCAGAGAGGATTTGAGGCTAAAAAGATGAACTTTCGTGTTCTATATTTCTGTGTGTAAAATCTGCTTCTCACTGCCTCTCTTATATAGGGATGGAGGAGGCAAAAACTTTTAAATTGGCATTTAAAGGCACCCCCACAACTCATGTAACAGCAACCACTAACTTTGAGTTTTAATTCAAAATTAAAATTTGGATTAATTCCAAAGAATTAACTCCGTAACAGATGAATTAAAACTCCAACGGTCACAGAAGGAGCTTCAGTTCAGCCACGAAAAGGCCGAACTTTCGGCCAGCCAAGGCCTCAGGTGGCTGAAACTTGCATGTTTCGGCCAAGGCCTCAGGTGGCCGAAAGTTTCGGCTCATAGCCGAAACCTCTCAGTGGCTCTCCATTGAAAAAATTGGTATCGAAGTTTGGCATAACTTAGCCCGCAACGCAGGTGCCGGCGGCGCACACGAGCTCGGGCTTGGATCAAGCCTTTTTCAATCTCGTCATTCCACTTTTAGTTTATTTATTTATTTATTTTAAACATTCAGTTTGTTCTAACATTATTTTGGCACGACCCTTTTGGTCCTCCGTCAACAAATATGTTTAAATGACATTAAAAATGATGTTATTAACCACTCAAAATCCTCTTTTTTTCTTCTTGATAATAAAATTGTTATCAATACATAAGTCTACTGCAAAATACAAAAAAAAAAAAAAAAAAAAAAAAAAAAAGGCAATTGAAAAAATCACAAGTCTACTTAATGGCAAACCTTAAGTCTAGTGCATAAGTCTACTCCATAAAAATCCACAAGAGTTATGGTTTTGTTACCAAGAAGAAAAAAAAAAAGGATTTTGAGTGGTTAATAACATCATTTTTAATGTCATTTAAACGTATACATTTGTTGATAGATGACTAAAAATGAAATGTCACATATAAATGTAAGACCAAAAGAGGAAAGAAAACAAAAACTTAACACTTAGAATTGAATAAACAAAATGTCATTGTATTTAATGCCATCTAAACGATTTTGTTAACGGACGACAAAAAATGATCATGCCACAATAAATTAGCACCAAACTAAAATATTTTGAAAAAAAAATATTAAAAATGAACTGTCATCTATAAAGCTAAAATCAATAATAGAATTAATTCAATTCAGATTGTTGTGACTCATTTTAATCAACTTTAATTTAACCATTCCATTCATAGTTGTATACATTCAAAGTTATTTAAAATGAGTCGCCTAAGCATTTTAATCAAACTCTAATTTCATTTATTATTAGGACATTAATTTAATAACTACGAAGTTTTAATTCGACTCACAATACACTACTGGAAATTATGGAATTTCCGACCACTTAAAAATGATCTTAAATTAAATTGATACCAAAAAGTTCAAAAAGTGGCCGGAAATAGCAACAAAGGTTTTTTCGGATACCAAAAGTGGTCAGAACAAGGCTTTCAACTTGATTTAAGATCAATTTCAGGTGGTCGGAAATTCCATAATTTCCAGTAGTGATAGAAGTTGTTTAACTCTATTAGATTGTAGTATATGTTCATTTATATTTTCTCAAAGTGTTAAGCACAAAAAGTTAACACTGCCTCTGCTGAGGCTCGGTCTCATGACTTTTCATATGGGAGAGTCACTACATGTCATCTAAGCAAAAGGTACTTCGCTGTATCTACTTGATTTACCTAATTTAGTGATATTAAATTAGGTAATAAGACAGGGTTAGTTTGTACATGAAGTGGTGTACTAGAGAAAACAACAAGAAACGAGTGAAAGGTCAATTCTTTGGGACCCTAAGGAAGTTGCAATGCAACTTCCAAATATTCAAAAAGCTGTGAGGTTATCGCTTTACGTCTTCCTCGCAGCTTCATAGAAATTCTCCTTCATAAGGTAATATACTTCGATATTTTAAATGAATAATAATTCAAATATATTTGTCTTAAATAAAATTATTTCGAGATTGTTTAGATATAGCAAAAAGGACAAATGACCTTGTGGTCTAGTGGTTCCAAGTTGCTCCTCCATATGGGAGGTTGTGGATTTGAGCCTCAATGCGATATGAACAAATATTGCATTATTGTAACAGAGTCAATAATATTCAAAAAAGATATAGGAAAAAGGATGTTATATATTTTATTATTTATTTATATATATACTTTTTATATTTATTTTATTGTTTAAATATTAATAATTTTCATACACCATCCACTTTTTTTAAAAGAAACACAAACAAACATTAAATTAGACAATATCACTATGCTAAAAGTTAACTTAGCAAGAGTAAGCTCTGCAGTTAGGGCTAGCTATGGGATGGATGAATTGTTGGGTGGAGGCCTGAAAGTCTTTGGGTTAAGACTAACGTGACACTCTACTTTTTGAAAATGTGGCACTGGCTCATCTGTATGTATAAGAAAATAAATTTACACTTTTACTACTAAGTACTTCGGGTATAATTTTTGGCGTATGTAATAATAAAGGTTTGATCCTAACACAAACTAACTTTAAAGAATTTTGAAATTTGGGATAGTGTGTTACGAGACTTAATATATAATTTATGATTATATAATTTGGAATAATATTTCTCAGCGGGTCACCCATCCTATGATGGCGGTAAGTCAAGCACGCTTAATTAACACAGTTACTTTTCAGTGGTCACCCATCTTGTAACTGCTGAAGTCTATAAGTCATCAAGCACACTCAACTATCTGGTTGTCATGTATATCCTACTTAAAACCAATGGCGATAAGTGGATGAACATTAACCATTTAACTACATCTGATAAGCCACAGCCTCTTGAATTGAGGAACTGAACTCGGCCAACCAGGCAGATGCCCAACAAATATAAATTACTATAAAATGAATTTTGAATTTTACTTTGTTTATTTGAATAATGGATGCTTTGATCATACTTCAATAATGGAATTCAATATAATCTTCCCAACGGCAAACCCCATGCTTTACTTTTCCTCTATATAAAGTTGAGACAATCCATGAACTTCATGACCACCTAAAATCACAACAACGATCGCGACAACAAATCAATAGTAATACTACGTACGTTGTTAAACTTCTTTCGATCTATCCCATAGATATATCATAAATGGATGCCGTTAAGAGTCTCAAATCATCCAGCGCCCGCATTATTAGTTTGGACATACCAATCCCGCCGATATTTTCAAGGTCTTTTTCAAGTTTAAGCTCGCCAAGAACCCCTACCAAGTCTCCGGCGAACAGCATTAGTCCCCCTCGCCGGAGCTCCAGCGGCAGAGACGGCGAGTTCAGGGAAGTTTTCAAGCGGTTCGATACGGACAACGATGGGAGAATCTCTGCGTACGAGCTAAGAGCCTATTTCGGGTCGGTAGGGGAGCACATGTCGCACGAGGAAGCGGAGGCGGCGATCGGCGCCCTAGACGGCGACGGCGACGGCTTGATTGACTTTCAGGACTTCTTGAAGCTGATGCACGGCGACGGGAGGAGGACGGTGACCTCAAGGCGGCGTTTGAGATGTTCGAGTTCGGGAAAGGCTCCGGCAGGATAACTCCCAAGAGCTTGCAGAAGGTGCTGAATTGGTTAGGGGAACCTAAGTCGTACGAGGAGTGTGTTACCATGATTAAGGTTTATGATATTGATGGCAATGGAGAGCTTGACTTCCATGAATTCCGGCAAATGATGGCTGCTTAACTACATAAAATTATCTACTTTAAATATTGTCTATGAACTAGTCAACTAAACTCGTGCCGGCAGGTATCCTGATTTCTGATCAGCTGGTATGTGTTTAAATCAAGCAGACCAAGTTTGGTTAAATGATAATTATATCATTATTTGTATAGTTTGAAGAAGAATTAAGTATGTAATTATATCATTATTTTTGTGTGTGAGTGTGTTTATATGTGTGTATGGTACTCTAAAATCGGTGTTTAATCTATTTATTTGAAATTTTTATTTTCTTCACCATATTGCGCATTTTTAATTCATCCACCATGAATTATAGGTTATGAGTGAAAATTAATAATAAATAAAATTTTGGTGGGAATAAAATTGTCGAGCAAATTAATGGCCATCATCAAGGAACGAATTTTAATGGAGTCTTAACGTTGATTATGACTATCTTAACCTTTCTCGCTTAATTAAGGAAGGGGTTGGATTGGTTCACAGAAGTGACAGAACTTTATTTTGTGTATTTTCATTCCTTGGACCCCCAAAAAAAAAAAAAAATCATATCCCAACTGTTGTTGAATGAATAGGTTTTTTGTATTGCAAGTTTTCTATGTTTTTAAGTGTACTTAAAGGTCGTAATTTCATGATTTAATTTGGAATATTTGTAAACCATTTGATTTGAAGCAACTATTAATGGATTAAACCCTAATCCGACAATTTATTTTAATTTGGTCGGTAAATGATTTTATAGTTGTCTATATATTTTGATAATCCTTGTTGCGTTTGCGAAAATATATGGTATTTATTTTAGTATTGATTTTTGTTATGTGCTATTAATGGATTAAACCCTAATCCGACAATTTATTTTAATTTGGTCGGTAAATGATTTGATAGTTGTCTATATATTATGGTAATCCTTGTTGCGTTTGTGAAAATATGTGGTATTTATTTTAGTATTGATTTTTGTCATGTGCTATACATGTATGCATGATATTGTTGCCTATCTATTATTCTATTTCCGTACTCCCTCGTTTAAAAAAAAAAAAAATCAAAGTTAGTGCTACCTCTCATCGTCTATAAAAGGGGACCCTAAGCTAAGAGAGAAAATATTGGTGTGATAAAAAGTAAAAACTTTACGTGTAAGTGTTCAAAGAAAACAAGTTGAATCAAACTCTCTAGTTGAAGTGAAATCTCATGGATTTTCAATTCTAACACTCATCAAACCAACAACCATCTTTCTACAGAAAGAAGTTGTAAGATCAACTTGCAATGTGACTTTATGGACGACCCTTAGCTAGGTTTGGTTGGATAGTAAAGAGCAGGATGACTTAGTGACTGGCCCCTATTTGAAGGAGTATATGTATTATTTTGATTGTAGCTACTGATTTATTTAATTTAATTATTAAGAGTAATAGCTAGTGTGGGCTACTTAATTTTCATCCACAACAATGAAATCATTGATTTTTTTAATTTTCATTCGTTGTTGAGACATATTGTTTTAGGAGTTTGTCAATGACAATTGCTACAATTGCTGTCAATAGAGGATGAAGATAAATAATTCAAAATATATGGTTGCAATAGATATTGTTATAATGATATAGTAAAAATTAACTTACAAATTTCTTTAGAAGTTTTCATGCATTGATATATTGATGTGTAAACTTGTTCAATTATATTGGACCCAGTGAGGTATCAACATTCTCAATTCTTAAGACAATGGTCCTACCATTTAGAGTCCAGGTGTAATTGTATTTATGATCAACAACTTTGTAGTTAGGTCACGCAGGTCTGACAATAATGTAAGAACAAATTTGTCCAATAAAAAAATAGTACAATATTTGTAAAGTAATGTATAGTTGTACCATTATAGAGATACAGACAAAAAATATTAATACCATAATCACCTAAGTCATTTCCAATATGCAAAAGCATAATTGAGATATTGAGTCTTGTTCTAAATAATCAAAATAAGATTAATTAAACGAAAAAAAAAAAAAACTTATATTAATTGTGAGGGAATTGCATTTATTGTAACCCATTAGAAATTCTTATATTAATCTTTTCTTAATTTACCAAACAAATTAAAACTAATATGGAGTAACATATTTATGAGAGTTAATTTCATTTTTTGTCCTAGATTTATAAGTGACAGTCTACTTTTAGTCATTCTTTACCAAAGCATCCTCTTTTGGTCATAATATTATTGTGATATGGCCAATTTTGGTCCTCTATCAACAAAATCGTTAAAATTTGGTTAAATTGAAGGACATTTTTATCTTTTTAATACAAAATGTGTTGACCCGTTATATTTTTTTGAAAAAAAAATCATAATTGAAAAGAGAAATGCCCTTGTATTTAACGAAATTTCAACGATATTTTTGATAAACGACCAAAATTGGTCATGTCACAATAATATTAGGACAAAAAATTAATATTCTGATAAAAAAAGATTAGAAATGAACTTCCACCTATAAATCTAGGACCAAAAATAAAATTAACTCTATTTATGATTTAAAATACTCCGTAAGTCATACATTCTGAAATAAGCTCCCCAATTAACAATGCTTATATCATAGTCCTCATAGTAATGTCTGGTGGGCTCTTATCTAGTACTGTACAACTCTGGACAATTATGGCAACTTCAGGATCTACAGAATTTTGGGCTTTTTAGAGCTACAAGCGAAGAAGGGCTAGCATTATATTCTTCTTGGCAAATTTTTTTGTGAATCATGGTTCACGTAGCAACATGAATCAAATAGAAAAAGTGAAAATTGATGTCGCTTGAAGTTTTTTTCCATTAATAATGATAGATGGTAAATTCTGTTATGGTCCATATAGCAACCTCTCTCATTATTCAGTTTCATTTCATACACATTTGTAGTTTCATTACAAATTTATAACACCACTAAAGTGTTATTCTAATTCAACTACAGTTTCACTTAGCAACAGTGTTGAAAAATACGCTAGACGTCCGATTTTTTTTTTTTTTTTAAATTTAAATTATTTTAAGGGGTTATTCGCAAAAAAAAAAAAAAAAAAAAAAAAAAGGGGCTCGGTCGCCTAGGCGCCCGGCCACAGAGGAGGTCGATTTCGGCGTTCCTCAACGCGGTCGGGAGATTTTTGCAACCATTCTTAACAATATATACACTCAATATGTGAAACATGCTATTCAGGTTCATTTTATAAACAGTGTAGTTTAATTTCATTACAACACCACTTAAGTATCATTCTTATTCAATTACACTTTCATTTGACAATATACACTCAATATGTGAGACATGTTATTCAATTTCATTTTATACACATTGTAGTTTCATTATATCACCACTAGAGTATCATTCTAATTCAAGACTTAATTTATTTTAATATAAAAATTATTAGGGGAATTATTTTTTTTTTGAAACGTTAAGAGATTATTTTTATTCTCAATTATAACTATTTACAGCCTAACAATATACTCATCTTTAATACTACTTTTAGATTAGAATTGAATATAAATATTTGACTCTTATTTGGACGACTAGGCTGATGCAAGCGCGATGCGCAGAATATTCTGTCACAGACTAATTAAACATTGTTATTAATTTGAGTTTAAAAATATGTACACCTCTCAATTTTTTTATATAGCACTATGAGAACATAATAAAATGCTTATAAATTTAGTTACAGATTAAATATCTAACTCTTGAAATATTCTCTATCAATCACAATATAGAAGTATAGAACACGCCAACTTGAAAAATAAGCAAATTTGAAACTTTTGTTGCTTTACATTTTGAGAATTAAAAATTTTATGTCTATATGTTGACCACATTATATATATTTTAGTGGGTCGTCAATTTTAAAATTTTTCAAAATGTATACATATATATAAGCAATAAATAACAAAATTGAATGGGGTCAATTGACCCCACTTGGTTGAATTAAGGTGGCTCCGCGACTGGATATTTGAATTGTGTCGCTCACACTATTGCTAAGGAGGCTATTTATGAGTCATGTTGTGGGGAGTACATAAACACATGTGAATTGTGTCGCCCACACTCTTACTAGGGAGGTCATTTATGAGTCAAGTTGTGGACGGAATGGAGTGGATAGACACATGTGAATTGTGCCACTCACTCTGTTGCTAGGGAGATCATTTATGAGTCAAGTTGTGGCAAGTGTATACACACTCCTCCTTCGTTTCTTGTAAGCATTGTTCAATCTGATTTAATAAATTGAAAAAAGCCTTTTAAAAAACTTCGTAAACTCTTCATTTTAAGTACACTTTATTATAATGGAATTTGAACCTGTGACATTCTTTATAAAAAGCAATAATAGTACCATCAAACCATAAAGTGCTTAGTAACTTTGTAAACTTGAAAGATCAAAAGTCACCAAAATTTCAAGTTGTAAACTTGTAAGTTAGTCCAATTATAGATAAGTTATAATGAAGTCTATACATTTATGGTTACAATTTAAATTAAGAGCATGTTTGGTTGGATGGAAAAAAATTTCTATAAATTTAAGGAAAATAGAATTTTTTCTCCGCTTAGTTTATGAAAAAAAAAAATTCACAGAAAAATGTTTTCTTCAGTTTCGAGAAAAAAGTGTTTCAAGTTGAGGAGGTGATATTTTGTTTTTCATAGAAGATGGGAAGAAAGTATCACATGATTAGACAATTTTGTCTTTATTAATTTTATTATCATTGTCATTGTGTAAAGACATTTTAGTCTTTATACCCATTATTGTTTATCATTCCAATCCAATTAAACAACAAAATTAATATTCTCAGTAATTTCTTTTCTATCAATCAAACAATGAAATTATTCTTCCTGATAATTCTTTTTCCAAGAAATTTAAATTTTATTCTCCCTCAAATATATTTCGTGAACCGAACGATGCTAAAGGATATAAAAATTAAATTTTAAATTTGCCGGGGGTAGCTGATATAATTTGGCGCAAGTAGTGATGTGTCGTAGTTGAAATGCAGAGTAGCATGACAAAAACCCAGTCAAAAACTATTATTTGTGATTCCGCGTAATGTGTTCAATACTTCAATTTGCTTTCCCTATTTTGCGCGTTGCTACAACTTGATCCGCAATGGTCAAAGTCAATGACATCTTCCTACTACTTAAGAATAATAATAATATTATTATTATTATTATATTATTATATTATTATTATTAAGTGATCACAACTTTACCTTTTATTATGTTGAGCCTTTTTTTTTTTTTTTCTAATTCATGTTTTTAGTGAGAATCTAAGAACCACTATTCTAAGCCCAATGTTATTATTATTATTATTATTATTATTATTATTATTATTATTATTATTATTATTATTATTATTATTATTATTATTATTATTATTATTATTATTGTTGTTGTTGTTGTTGTTGTTGTTGTTGTTCTTGTTGTTGTTGTTGTTGTTGTTAGGAATAATGGTCAAATAGGTCACTCAACTGCACACCAAAGTGCAATTAAGTCTTTGAACTCAAAAAAATGCAATTAAGCCATTGAACAACACAAAAACATGCAATTTAGCTCAAAATGACTTGTTTACCTAGAATAGCAAGTTACCAATTTTAAAATTAATTTTTTAAATAATTTTTAATAAATAAATAATTAAAATATTAAAAAAACAGAAAATTGCGGCCGGAGACGAAAGACAAAGACCTTCGTCGGCCATGGAGACGAAGGTCTTCGTCTCCATGGCTATGGATACGAATTCGTCTCCGGCCATGGAGACGACGTCTTTTGTCTCCATGGCCAGGGAGACCAAGGGACCGTCCCTTCGTCTCCCTGGCCATGGAGACGAAGGTCTTTGTCTCCATGGCTGGAGACGCAGCCGACAATCGTCTCCGGCCGGCAGTTTCTGTTTTTTTTTTTTTTTTTTTTTTTTTAAAAATATTTTAATTATTTATTTATTAAAAATTATTTTAAAAAAATTAATTTTAAAATCGGTAACTTGCTACACCATGTAAACAAGTCATTTTGGGCTAAATTGTTTTTTTTTTTTTTGTGTGTGTGTTGTTTAATGGCTCAATTGCATTCTTTTTGAGTTCAATGGTCTAATTGCACTTTGGTGTGCAGTTGGGTGACATATTTGATCATTATTCCTTATAATTATTATTGAGTAATGCTAGGCCCCGTTTTTAGAAATTTTCTCTCAAATTTTCCTCCTGATGTGATCTAATTGGGTTATTTAATATTTTAAAAATGTCAAATAAGTCACTGAATTTATCATATATGTGCAATTTAGTTTCTAAACTTAAAAAATTTACAACTAAATCATTAAACAAGCAAAATATGAGCAATTGAAATATTTTTGGAATGAAAAAAATAGCATTTTGTTATTATTTTTGCTCTTAAAAGATGACAGAGTAGGTAGAGTATAATTATTGTACCATAAGATCATGATTTTTGTCAACACTCTCTCCTTCTTATGTGTTTGTTATTACAAGGAACATGACTTTACTTAATGTACAATTTCGGAGAATGATATTTTGTATTTGTTTAGGCATATATATTTTTATGACTTACCTTACTAGAAAGAAAAAAAATTATAAAAAATAATCAAGTGATCGAAACATGATTACAAATTCAACAAGTTTTCCGCAGGGCCGGATTTTAGGTTTTTGTGGCCCTGTTATGATAAATAGCTAAGGCCCTCCGAAATCATAATTTTTAAAACTAACATATGCGAGTTTTGAACCTTTGACCTCCAAGTTAAAATATAATAAATACACATTGCTACCATCTCTTCATAAAACCTTTTAAGTTCAATTGAAAATTTTTAATTTTTATTTATAAACTAGCTAGGTAAATATTAAATATTTGGCCTCTAAAATTTGGGACCCCTCTAAAATTGGGGGCCCTGGTAGCCCAGCTTACACAGCCTAAAATCCGGCCCTGGTTTTCCGAGTATAATTTACTTCACTGCCTAGGCTAAATTCCAAGTTAGGCCAGAAATTAAGCTCTTTTTTTTTTCCGCTAATAAATTTAGGAAAAGATTGTTAATTAGTATATCATTGTCCTATATCCAGGATTTTTATGCTTGGAATGTGCGCGTGTTAGTAATTTCCTATGAATTTTCTTAGAATCTTGACAGCGAAAGGTGTAGTGAAGACATTTCCAGTTGTTCGGAAATCAAACATACGAAATTTCACACAACATTTTTGAATGTTTCTCCCATTGCCGTTGGAATAATTCTCAAGTCAACGCGCCCCCCAATTTTCTATGTCCAAACCAAATTGTACAGTGTTTCTTCATTCAATTCAATTCAGACTTCTCAAAACTCCATTCTTGAGTTTCTGGGTTTGAGCTTACATATTCTTATCCTCTCTCTCTCCATTCCAAGAATCTAAGCTCATCCTCCATTACAACACACCCAAAACGATGAACAATTTACATTGGATCTGTTTCTTGACTGCCCTGATTTCTGGGTCCTCGTGGATCGAAGCCCAGCAGCCATATATCCGCAAGGATACAGGGTGTATGGGTAGCTTAGCTGTTTCCAATTCCACTTCCGCCTTTGGGTACCACTGCAATGGCGTTAACCGGAGCTGCCAGGCCTACCTGACCTTCGCGTCTCAGCCGCCGTACGATTCCGTCGCCGCCATCTCCGCCCTTCTCGGAGCTGACCCGGTAAACCTCTCAAACCTCAATTCAGTGTCGGAAAACGCAACCTTTGAGACAAACAAGGTGGTTCTTGTCCCTGTCACCTGCTCTTGCGCTGGCCAGTTCTATCAGGCCAATGGATCCTACGCTCTTAGGGCAGGCGATACTTATACGTCTATTGAACTTAGCCCTTTAGAAGGCTTGTCTACCTGCCGTGCTCTCCGATCTGAGAATAGTAATATCCCCGAAACTAATTTGGTTCCTGGGTTGAGAATCAATGTTCCTGTAAGGTGTGCTTGTCCGACCAAGAATCAGAGTGATGATGGGGTTAAGTTCTTGTTGAGTTACATGGTTGAATCGGGAGATTATGTTTCCTTAATCAGTGAAAAATTTGGGGCGGATACTGAGAAAACTCTAGCCGCAAATGGACTATCCGATCAGGATACAGTCATATACCCAAACACTACCCTTCTGGTTCCACTTCAATCCCAGCCATCTATTACCCAGATTTCAGCTCAGTCTCCGGCGGCGGCGCCTCCGCCGCCGCCGCCGCCGCCACCGCCGCAAGATGTGAGTAAAAGCTCAAGCAAGACCTGGAAATATGTCCTGGCGGGTGTTCTTGGAGGACTTGGTTGTTTGGGAATTGTAGGAGGGGTTGTTTTCTTGCTTTGCATCCGGAAAAGGGAGAAGAGAGGTGAGCCGGAGATGGTGACGAAGAGTTTTGAAGCAACTGAGAAGCCATTGAAGAAGAAATTGGATGAGGAAATGGGGTTGTCCTATGGGAGTGTATCTGATTTGGTACAATCTGTAAAGATGTATACTTTTGAAGAGATGAAATCTGCTACAGAGAATTTTAGTCCTAGTTGTTTGATCCGGGGATCGGTTTATCGTGGCACAATCAATGGGGATTTTGCAGCAATCAAGAAAATAAATGGGGATGTATCTAAGGAAATTAATCTGTTGAGCAAAATCAACCATTTCAACCTCATTAGCCTCTCCGGGATTTGCTTCAACGATGGCGACTGGTATCTCGTGTTTGAGTATGCTGAAAACGGGGCATTGAGCGATACCATCCACCCCGAAAATGGCAATGATTCGAGGAAGCCGCCTTTGACATGGGCACAAAGGGTACAAATCGGGTTGGATGTAGCCACTGGCCTTAACTACCTCCACAGCTACACTTCCCCTCCCCACGTCCACAAGGACTTAAAGAGCAGCAACGTTCTCCTCGACAGCAACTCGAGAGCCAAAATCACAAACTTTGGCCTGTCAAGGTCTGCAGATGCACAAGAAGGCGAGTTCGCCTTGACAAGGCACATAGTCGGGACGAAAGGCTACATGGCTCCCGAGTATCTGTACCACGGTTTGGTTTCCCCGAAGCTAGACGTGTATGCTTTCGGGGTCCTCACGCTCGAGATACTCACCGGGAAGGACATTGCTGCTCTTCAAGAACGCGAAAACATCCACCTCTCAGAACTCCTCCTCCCCGTGCTCGAAGAGGAAAATGGAAAACAGCACTTGACCAGTTTCCTGGATCCTAGTCTGCAAGGGAGGTATCCTGCAGACGTTGCGGTGTCTTTGGTGAGATTGATCGATAGTTGCATCAAGAAAGACGCTTCGAGTCGGCCCAACATGGATGAAATTGTTAGGCATTTCTCAATAGCCATGACCACCACATCCTCTTGGGAGCTTTCCTCATCAAGCACCTAATATTATTATTCATACTTATATTTTACATGTGAAATTATAGTGAGTACTGTTGAAGTAAATAATCATTCTGGTGATATTTTGAGACAATCCTATGAATCATGGGGTGCTGATTTTGATTGTGTAATTAATCTCTATGATTATGCTAATTGATTATAGTGAATGTGTATGTATACTTTCTTCCCCCAAAAACTATTAAGAAATTCTTTCATCTTCTTAGCAGTGGTAAGAAACCAGCAGAGGATAGTGGGAAAGTAGGGATTTGGACCAAATTTGCATGCCTATAAGGTGTCCAAGGATCATGATAATATAAGATTATAAGGTGTGTAAGCATCAGGGACAATGCAGAGACTGAACAAGAGTCAGGAGGGTGAGATTGAAATGTGCAAAAAAGAGCAAATCCACTTATCTGTCTTAAAAAGACTCTTTTATACATAGTGGATAGGGCTGTTTACGAACCAAACATAAATGAACGGAGGTTGTTCGTGTTCGTTTGTTATGAATTTTGGAGTGTTTGAGTTCGTGTTCGTTTGTTAAGGTTTTTGAAAATCCTGTTCGTGTTCGTTTGTTAAGCGTTCATTAGTGTTCGTGTTCGTTTGTTAAGGTTTTTGAAAATCCTGTTCGTGTTCGTTTGTTAAGCGTTCATTAGTGTTCATTAACGTTCGCGAACGTGTTCGTTTACGTTAACAAACATGTTCGCGAACGTGTTTGTTAATGTTCACGAACGTGTTCGTTAACGTTAACAAACACGTTCACAAACATGTTCGTTAACAAGTACGTTTACGAACATGTTGGTTTATGTTCATGAACACATTCGTGAACCTTTAATAACCAAACACCTGCACATGTTCATGATCACAATTCGTTCGTGAACAACAAATAATCTATGTTCAAAAAAACAACAAATAATCTATGTTCAAAAAATAATCAACTTTCATGATCACAATATAATCTATATATATATATATGTTTGTGAACATTATTAAACGAACACTAAACGAGCTTGTTCACGATTTCTTAACAAACGAGCATACAACTGTTCAAGTTCTGTTCGTTTATTAAACGAGCTCTAACATAAACGAACGCTTACCGAACACGAACACGAGTAGTTTGTCGAAAGCTCTGTTCGCTAACACACCTAATAGTGGAGCAAATCCACTTTCCAAACTAATGTGGGATAAAAATTACTTTTAATGTCTTTCCACCTTATTTTCCAACTCAAATGGGTCTAATTTGAGAATCAATTTTTCATTCACCCATTATCTGTTTTGAGTGTACAATATATCAATATATTTGCCTCACTACGAAGAATCCAAATCCACTTTGACCCGACCCAAATCGGAAGCAAACCCCACTAATAATGCTGATAGTGCTGTCTAAGGAGCAAGAGGACAAAAATGCTAGAAGACAAAAGTGCCAAGAAGACAAAAATGTAAAAGGCAAAAATAAAGAGACTTTATTAGTATCTCATCTTATTATCTTTAGATCTTATCTTATTGTAGTTGTTGAAATAACTTAGATCTTATCTTATTGTACTAATGTGTACTAAGTTTGAAGACTTTAATTTTGATGTAACTTAGTAGTTATTAGTTATCTCTTAGAAGTTGTAAAAAGTTTGTAATCTTCCTACGAGATTTTCTATATAAAGAGCCTCTCGATTGAATAAAAATAGAAGTTCAGTTCCTATCATCAAAATTTCTAATGAAATATTCTTGTGTCTTTTACATGGCTTTCTAAACTCCCTTTCTTCTATAACCAATTACCAAAAGTATAAACATATTACCCAAAAAGAACTCTCAATTATTATCAAAGTAGTAAATTTGATCCCTCAATGTCTAAACTCATCACCAGTATGTAATATGTTAATAAAATGGTGAATTTGATCCTTAAATCACCAAATTAGCCATTTTTATCATAACTAAAAGACTAAATTACCTTGCAAATAATGGAAGCACTAAATCTATACTTAGGATATTGTAGCAATCTGTTGCTTCTGTATTCAAGAGCGAAAGAAAAAGCGTTATATCATTAAATTTAGCATCAAATTAAGGCAAGCAGAGATTTGAACAAATACTCTCTATTAGAGACTGAAATGTAATTAATTTGACTTATAAAAGCACCCTATTCAGCCAAGATCTTGTGGTCTAATGACACTAAGATTGCACTCTCATATGGAAAATTGTGGGTTCAAGTTCTTTATGCTTCAAAGCAGGTTGAGAAAGTAGTTATGAACAGATATTACATTGTAATAGAGTCAGTAGCACTAAAAAAAAAAAAAAAAAACACCCTATTCACTTTCCATATTATTGATGTTGTTATGTATATAAATATCATAATCACAATATATATGTTGCACTCTATAATACATACACGTATTTATTGGATTCATTACATCTTTATGATTTGTATATGCATGGGGGGGTTTGTCCTATAAAACTGGTATCAAAGTATATATATAAAGTATGACTGGAAGTGGAAAACCTCATCAGATCAGCAAGGAAAGCTTCCAGTTAGCCGAATATGGTCAAGTGTACTCCTGAGGCCGTACTTGAGCACTGCCTTGTTGCCTTCTCTGAACCCATCGCCATAAGCTACAGAAGTGTCTGATTCTATCTGGTGCTTGAAAAACTCGCCCAGTTTCTTCTCGAACTGCGACCGGGTACCCTTCTTTGAAGAGGTAGTGGACGATGATGACGATGATGATGGTGAGGTTGCAGACGAAGAAGACGAAGAAGTAGATGCAGTGCTGCTGCTACCAGAACCGGCTATGATTTCTGAATCTAACCACATGTGAGCTAAGACTTGGCAGATTCCTTCTTCTATTTCTGGGCTTAGATTGGGATAACCTGTCCACAATATAATTTGCGGATCACATTACAAAAGCCTAAGCTGATAGTTGGATTGCACATTAATGGTTATATGCTCAGCAAATAGCTTAATGCGATGCAGGTTGTTGCGAAAATGTAAGTGTTATGGGATTAATGGAAGGCACCTTTAAGCCGCAGGTATGCATGCATCATCTCATGAGCCAGGATTGAGCCGGTCAGCAACCTGGACAGGCCGGCAAGTAAAGTTTAATAATGTTCGGTGCTCTGATACTAAATTGAAGAATCTGCATTTCCGTGTAAACTAAAAGTTTAAGCTGATAGTGAAACTGCAAGTCTGCAGGTTATTACCTCGGAAGGCCATACAAGATGAGTATTGCAGTCACTTCGCACCTACGAATTAGCCTGTAAGGCTCTGTGAACATATCTGTGATTCTATTCCCCCCAATTCTTGGCCGCCTCAAAATCTGAAATTTATGCATAGGAGATAAGCTTCATTTCTACAGGTCTAATATATGTTAATGTAAAAGTGATCACAAAGAGAGAAAGAGAGAGAGAATCATACAGTGCTGACTGTCTGTTCTTCAGACAAGCAAAGTCCTCTTGTTTCAGGCATGTGATGATGCCCCTGTCAAAATTAAGAATTCATTGAAATCAAAACCATGATGTTTTTTAATACTAACACAGGATAGAATTGAAGTATCTATCTGTCTCACATTCTTTTCTCCTTCCATGGCTTCATTGAGGGCTTGCCTCTCAACTAAGAGCAGTGGAATTTGCTGCTCAACTTTCATATTTAGACCTTCATAAAAATCTTGGATTTCGAGATAGAGAGGCTGGCATTCATGAGTATCCATTATCGAAGAATCCAGACACTCTAGACACAGTTTCCTCCCGTCATCGAGCACCAAATATCTGGTGTCTACTGGCTGCACGCAATAAACAAGGAAAGTTTGCGTTTTTCTTATGAATTTTACGAGTCTTCCATCTCAACTAAAAGCTTAAGCTGATAGTTGGATTGCACATTAATGGTTATATGCTCAACAATTAGGATAAACTACGGTATGAATGTTTGGCTGCATACCTCCATTCTCTCGCAGCTGCAGCAGCGGGGGGTTCCATCTTGCTCGTGTGATGGGCAGTACTTTTGAAGCCAGAAAGGATGTGCTCTATATTCTATAAGCCCGGCTGCATTTGTAGGAATCTGGAGATCAAACCACTCGGGATTAGAGATAATCGGTGTGATATATTTTTGACAATAACAGTTAAATGCAGGATATGATCACTTACAAAATTCTTGCAGACATCACATTTTGGGTGGTGCTGCTCCTTGTAGCAAGATTTATGGTACGGGCGATTATCAGACACTGAAAACTGCTAGCAAAGATGGAATCATTACTGATACCGGTATGGATTAGCAGAAAAACATGAATCAATGAGAGAGATTACGAACAGCAAACCTCGTAGTCAGAAATGGGAATGTTGCAAGAATTGCATCGGAAGCATTCGGGATGCCAGACAGCTCCCATACAGCTCAAAAATCGCCCGTGGCCAATCTCATTATTGCAGCCAGCACAAATCCTGTAGCCAGGTGGGTAGAAGTATGGATATGGTGGAAAGAAAGTTTCGTAATCATTGCGCCTTGGCGGGGAGGAGTCCACGTATAAACTCTCCTGAATCGCCTTGGCCAACATTTCGTCTTCCTCTATATCTGCTTCGGGTTCTAACCAATCCCCAGAAAACAGAAGAAATTCTATACTCAGAAGCTATAAACAGATATCTAGATTTGATAGATGATTTTCACACAATATGTAACTTACCAATTACTCTTTTCCCCTTCTCATCTTCTTTCTCATCTTCTTTGTGGTCTTCAATCACATCATCCTTTTGGTCGTCTTCCTTCTCATCTTCCTTCTGGTCTTCATCAACAAGCGAGAGTGCAATGGCAAGATCGATTTCTTCGTTATCAAAATCCGACCTTTCATCCTAGACAGAACCCGCAATTAGACTAGAATCAATACAGAAAATAACCCACTAGAAATCAAGAAAACATCAAAAGTTTTCATCAGCAGTGATTACTGTGGATGTTCTTGGCCGTTCCCAGAAGGCGTCATCCTCGAATCTCCCATGGTGTTGCCCTTGTGATATCCTGTGCTTACTGCCATGGCTGAAACCTTTGAAAATCTTGGACAGCCAACCCATAAAGAATCGAATCCCGCCCGGCCTGCACCCAAATTTTACTTGTAGGTTAGCCACAGAGATTGACAGAGCCCCTTATGGACTGAATTATCCAGTGAAAGTGAGAACACAAAACAGATTGACATAGACATAACAATTGATCTTAGCCACACTATCAAAGAACCAAGATAAGATTCACCCACACAACAAAATTGAAGAGGAAGAATCAGAAACCAAGAAAAAGCAAAATAATTCACCAATAATCAAGAATCTGGTGGTCAGATCCAATCACTGACAGCCCATTAGAACAGATTAATTAATACAATGATTCTAACTTGCCGACAAGAAAAGCATATGAATCCATCAATACCCATAAAAAAAAAAATCAAAATTCAGATAAAGAAGAGTAAAGACAGAATCATGGGCACCTGTTACAGTAGGAGGAGAATCAGCAGAGATGCTCCAAGGAATCTGAAGAAACCAAATCAGACAAAAGCCACCAAATTCATCTTGGAAGCATACTCAAGGCTGGGAAGTAGCAGAGATGACAAGAAAGATTTTCCACTTCCCCACATACCACACCACCAATTATTCCATTGAAGAATAAGGTTAAATTGCCCCCACAAATATAACAATCCCACTAAATTACTGTAGTAAAATATGGGTTTGACAGAGCCAAAAAGCGAAAGAAACAGAAATCTACACCAATATAGGTAGAAAAAGGTTGAATCTTTTTTACTTATTAAAGATGATAAGCTGACGCAAGTTCCAGCAGCATCTTTAAAAGATTATTAAAGGATAGGGGAAGAAGAAGAAGAAGAAGAAAAAACACACACACACACAATCGAGATTGGAGAATTCAACTTTCATCTTCAAAAATATGTGCTTTTCTTGGAAGGTGGGGGCCCCTTTCTTCACCATATTTTTGCGATCATCATTTCGCTACATGTCAAAAGCTCATTACTTTCCAACTGCTAACGCTTTAGGTACCCAAAAAGGAAAATTCTATGTGTACTCCCATTTTCTACTCCCACCTTTGGCAGGCCTCCGCCCAGCACCCATGACCTGACTCTGATACCTCAAGCACTTATTACTGCCTCAAAAGTTATATTCTTTAGTTAGTAATGAAAACGCAACTTTATTTCTTAATACCGTCACACATTTTTCAAACATTGGATTCTGAATTTAGCCCTTCAAAGACTTTACAGGTCTCCGTCCAACAATCCCTGTAAATCTAAATCACAGATAGTATTAAAGTCTTATGTATTTGAATACCAACAAGATTAAAATCAGTACCCTGACTCTCGAAAATGTTAAGAACAGAGATCCAACCAGAAGGAAGAATCAGACAGCCACAGATTCCAAGGAGGGTGGACTAAAAGTAGGGACAGAACTTAAGAAAGACGCCAAGTGGGCAAATGAGGTGCCACCAAAAGTGGTTAATTGCCTTTTAGTACTTTACAAGTTCCTGCGGTTCTGACAGCAGTTTAAGGCCCCCTGTCCTATAAAATCATTTTTACTTCCTAAAAACGGTTGCGTTTCATAGTTTGTTGCACCAACAGCCCACGCCCCCACGCCCACGGGCCACCTCATAATTTCCGAATAAAACGAAATTAAAGAAAAGAAAAGAAAATCATTTCTTCTTCTTCTTTTTATTTACTCGTATTTTTTAATGGTTGACTCATAGAGTCATAGATGATTCTAGCATAAATAATTTGAGTATACTATACAATTATTGTATCTTATATTATGCCCGGCCATGTGCATACAATTATTATGCAAAAGTATACTCCCTAAAAATATGTTCAACAACATTTGGGGTCTTTTACAATGTGAAATTATAATTCAACTAATCCAAAATAAAGACGTTGCATAGAAATGTAAGAATAGTATAATTTATTTAAAATTAAAATGAAGTTCGTAAGTTAGGTGTAACATAATTCTTTTAAAAACTTACATTTGAAAATCAACGTGAAGTTAGACTAAAATGAATATAAAATTCAATAAAATGGAAAAATTATTAATACAAGGAAGTATCATCGTGATACGTTGATGCTTGCAAGAATACTTAATACTTTTGAGTTACCTGAAAATTCACAATCAATGTGTGTTCTGGTGAAGTACAGCTTGTAAATTTTATTAGTATAATAATATTATAAAAGCGATAAATCAATCTAGGTAGTTTATAATTAACTGTTTCAAAAAGAAGGTAAATAGACAACTTCGAGGAAGTGAATTAAAACTTGTCAAATGTTTAATATTTTAATAGTTAATAATTTAGGTAGGAACGTGTAACTGTGGAAAGAAGTTCCACTCAAATTTTAACGTGTAAGGGTCAATATTGCAGTTAGATGTAAGTTATGGTCAGGACAATTTTACTTTCATTTAATCATTATTGTAAATTGTAATATTGTTATACTTCGTTTTTAACTTTAAAAATTTGATAATTAGAAAATTACAAATTACAATTTAGTCTTCCAGTTAAATATCAATTTAGTAAATATTAAATTTAAAGGTAATAATGTAAATATTTTGTTTTTCTCATTCCCACTAATAATGTTCCAATGTATTAAGTTTATGAAACCCAATTTACCATCCATCTCAATAACAAGTTAATTTTTACATTATTATTCTTAAATTTAATGTTACTAAAATGGATATTAACAAGATGATAAAATTTGGAACAAAATCAATAATCAAGATATCATTTATGATCAAACTGAAAGTCGATGATGAAAATTGGTAAATGACAATAGTTAAAGAATTATTTATAGTCTAATTGAAAGGTGATGATAAAAATTGGTAAATGTCAATAGTCAAGAGACCATGCATCCTTCTAATTAGCTCATGTTAAATATATAGTCCAATTATCAATTTAGCATTTTAATTGAAATAGAACCTATACTTCAATTATGTGATAATAAAGTGTAATGTAATCTGGGAAAATCTAATCTAATCCTTTTCTTATATGTTTGGCTGGACATTACCGACAGCGCACTAGCTAGTAGCTACCATTTATCCACCAAAACAATGATTCATTATCATCCACCAATTAAATCACCTTCCCTTTGCACTTCGCTTTCACGCTTTCAGCTTCATAATTCATGCATTAATGCCTTAATGGGCAGGGATCGATAATGCCACTACCCCAAAATTTCTCCCACTTGTGGACCAATAACTTACACAAATTCAGAATTTAACAAAAATAACGTATTTCCAATATGTTGGAGGATGAAAATAAATAAACGGGAAAGCTTGGAATAGGGAGTTGATTGTCATTTCCCTTCCCTCTTTCTGTTGTAACTGGTCCGTGCATTCACCATCTATATATAAACCAGTATGTAAAGCCATGCTCTGTCAACTTGAATAAGATCTTCTTCTTCGATTTGTTTCTGATCTCTCACCATTCATGTAACACTTTCCATCATGGTATCAGAGCCACCACGGTGGTTCACCTACGACGCCGCCAGCATCGGAGAGTCCAGTCGAAGATGCCATCCGACGACTCCTGATGCTCGATCTCCTTTGTGATCTTCTCCGATCAATCCGCAGAGGATTATTACTACGCAGAGTAGCAACAATGCCGACGCTCAGCAACGATTCCGCAGAGAGAAGCAGAGAAGCCAAAATCCAGTTCAGGCGACCTCCATAGCCGTTCCACAGTGGAAGGAAGGAGCTTGTCCGTCGATTTTGATTGCTCAATCTCCAGTTCAGGCGACCTCCACAGCCGTTCCGCAGCGGAAGGAAGGAGCTCGTCCGTCGATTCCGATCGTTCGATCTCCAGTTCAGGAGATCTCCACAGTCGTTCCGTAGCGGAAGGAAGGAGTTCATCAGTTGCCTCTGATCACTCGATCTCCAGTTCAGGCGACCTCCACAGCTGTTCCGCAGCGGAAGGAAGGAGTTTGTCAGTCGCTTCCGATCATTCGATCTCCAATTTTGGCGACATCCATAGCCGTTCCACAGTGGAACCTGTTCACGCAGAGAAACTATAATCCAGAAGATCTGGAAAATTCACACCGAATCTCAAGTCTACGGAGTGAGATTCTCAATCTGAAACAGAGGGAACAGTATTCCGACTCAGCCACAACGGCTGTGTCCCTCGATCTGCAAAAGCTAAACGAAAGAATTGCAAAATTATCGGGAGGGGTTGCTGTCATTCAGGATTGTACGGTAGGTTTGCTATTTGCACTGCTTCCAATTCTGGGTGGTAATTCTGGTGTTCTTCCTGGATTGATGTCCATGGGAAAAATGTTGGTCACTTTGGCTGCATTTTTTAGCATTTTGTCAATATTTTGCTGGACATTGGCACCTAGGTTTCTTAAGTTGATGATAGGCCTATCATCACAGACTCATGAACTATATTAGTTGACATCTGTTGCTTTCTGCTTGATTGTTGCCTGGTGTAATGATAAGCTGGGTTTTAGTCTTGAATTTGGTTCTCTTGCTGCTAGAGTGATGATATCAACAAAGGAACTTGCTCAACATACACTTGATCAGGTTGAGCTAATTCAGAATTTCTTAGCTGCTCCTTTCCTATCCAGTATTAGAATGCTTATCCATGTTCATTTTATGTGGAATCACATTGATATTTTACTGACTTCTGTTATTATGGTAATCGTGTTTAAAACTATTGTGGTTGCAATACTAGTCAAAGGTTTTGGTTACAACAACAAGACTTCACTTCTTGTTGGAATGTCTCTGACTCAAATTGGGGAGTTTGCTTTTGTTTTTCTGGGCCGTGCTTCCAATTCTCATCTGGTTGAGGATAAATTGTACAATGCCGCGACAGGCAACTATGAAAACTTGATGGCTGCTGGAATTATTGATCCAACGAAGGTGGTGAGATGTTGTTTAGAGCATGCTGCATCTGTGGCAAAGACATCCATAGTTCGCGAAAAAGATTACACAAAGGCTTGACAAAGTTGCTATTTGTGTCCTCTTCAAGGCAGATTGCTAATGGTCTGACCAAAACTCTTCCAACATCTCTGTTTTACTCCTTCCTATCTAAGCTGGGCATACAAAATTTGCATGCTCTAGCTTACGGGGGATGTTGGAGGATGAAAATAAATAAACGGGAAAGCTTGGAATAGGGAGTTGATTGTCATCATTTCCCTTCCCTCTTTCTGTTGTAACTGGTCCGTGCATTCACCATCTATATATAAACCAGTATGTAAAGCCATGCTCTGTCAACTTGAATAAGATCTTCTTCTTCGATTTGTTTCTGATCTCTTACCATTCATGTAACACTTTCCGTCACAATATGCTAAGCACTTTTTGTTTAGTTGGTACCACTATAATTTTTCTTAATGGAAGGTCATATGATTGAAATTTTTGTAACAGATATTACATTATAATAGAGTTGATAGTACTTAAAAAGACATGTTTACAATATAAGACCGTCTTACATACATTGATTTCAAATATGTAATACTTTTTAGTTATGTTGCATTAAAAGGTCAAAAGAGGGGTGTATTTGTAAATATCTTTTATATGCATAGATAAGTAATTATTTCACAATTTAAAAAGTTGTACATTAGTAAATAAAAGTAGTGTACCAAATTAATTAGTACTCCGTAATAAATAGTTGAATAGTAAATGCAAATTACCACAAAGTCAATTTAATATAAAATGCAATTTCTAAACTCTGAAATATTTTTAAATTTAAACAGTTTTTTGAAAGGTGGCCGGTTTGGCATTTATTCAAAGTACTCTGAAATAGAGTTTGGGGGGACATCGTCCGAATACATAACAGTAGAGTAAATAAAAGCTGATGCAGCTAAACTATGAGCTAAATAGTTCTCTGATCTAGGAATAAAAATAACTGGGCAGTAATTAAATGAGGTGATGCGTGCTCTGCAAGCATCTACGGCATAGCCAACGTACGTTCGTAGTAAGACATTTGCATTTGACAGGTATTGCTTCAATGTTAAACAATCCGTGAACAAGCGTATAGATCGTTCCCCACGATTCCATAACCAAGACAAGGCTTCTTTGCATGCTAGCGCTTCAGCCATGAGTGGGGAGAAACAGTCCGATAATGGTGCACTGAATGCCGAGATATATTCTCCCTCCTCGCTGATCAAGATTGCACCTACCGTGGCTTTTCCAGTGATGGGCGAAAAACCAGCGTCGAAGTAGCATTTTCGGACTGGCGTATACTGGATTGGCTGCGAAATTCCGTCCTGGGCAATAATTCCATAATCTGCTGCAGTTTCGTACTCCTGCTGCTGTAGCACGGCAGCAGCTATGCTGCTGTGTTCTTGTTGTTGTAGCACGGCAGCAGTGACGCCATGTTGCTGCTGTGTGTCGTGTTGCTGCTGGTGTAACACGGCAGTAGCCGTGTTCCGCTGCTGCTGCTGTAACACGGCAGTGGCAGTGGCATGTTGCTGTGCTACAGCCCGGTGGGGCGCCTGGTTTGGGTGGATATGTTGCCATGCAAGTACCGTGGATCTGGCCGAAGCTAGTATTTTCTGTGGTCGTGGTAGGCAAGCCTCCCATACCGCTCCGTTTCTGGCCTTCCAAATGTAATATAAGATTGCAGCTGCGTGAATGATTTGATTAGTGTCTAAAATATTCAATAGATCACTAAACCAAGTATGAAAAATATTTGTTATTGCCATGGGGATTGGAAGGTGAGATTGTGCCCAAATGGAACTTGCATAATCACATGTTACTAAGGCATGCATTGTGTCTTCATTCATTACCCCACACATAGCACATGTTGGTTGTATTTCCACCCTCTTTATAATCAAATTCGTTGTAGTGGGGAGGATACCACTCAAAGCCTTCCATAAAAATGTTCTCCATTTGGGGGGGATTTTAAGCTTCCACAGGCGTAACCAATTATTTTCATTACCCATATTATCATTGAGATCACCCACAACCGCTTTGTAGCCACTTTTCACAGTATAGTTTCCCCCTTGGTCTCCATGCCAATACCACATATCTTCATATTCTGGTGATATTGGAATCTTCCTTATTCGAGCTACATCTGTAGGGATAAAAATATCTGTCAAAATATCCGGGTCCCAGGTTTGTGTCTCATGATCAATTAACCCCATAACGGTTGCATTATTCAGGTAGGGGGGTTTATCCGTATGAATCATTGGGTCTTGCTTGTCCTGTAACCATGGGTGATCCCAAATCTGGGTTGTTTTTCCATTTCCAATTCTGCGTCTGACACCACCACAAACCATGTCATGAGCTGCCATAATACTGCGCCAACAAAAACTGAGATTATTTCCTATAGTGGCCTCATAGAAAGATCCTTTCGGGTAGTACCTGGCTTTATAGACTTTTGAAACCAATGAGTCAGGTTTAGACAAAAATCGTCATGCCTGTTTACCCAACATTGCTATGTTAAACGCATGCAACTCTTTGAAACCCAAGCCACCATACTTCTTTGGTACACACAATTTGTCCCAGGCTTTCCAATGGATCCCACAATCATTCCTCGTCCCCCACTAGTACCGGTTCATAGTTCGTTCTATTGCTGTACAGATCCCGATAGGTAACAAAAAAACACTCATTGAAAACGTGGGCATAGCTTGAGCCACACTTTTCAACAAGACCTCCTTACCAGCTTGTGATAATAACTTTTTATTCCAGGAAACAATTCTTTGTCTTATCTTATCCTCAATATAGGAAAATGTTGCCTTCTTATTCCTTCCTATAAATGAGGGGAGTCCCAAATATTTTCCAAAATTTGGTGCCTGAGTAACCCCCAGAATTTGTGCCACATCATCCCTATCTTCGTCTCGAGTGTTCTTGCTGTAACATATGCTGGACTTATGATAATTTACCACCTGACCAGACAACTTTTCATATCGTGTCAAACACTGTTTCACTGCATTTGCTTCCTGTGTATTTGCTTTAAAGAATAATAAACTGTCATCAGCAAAAAATAAATGAGAAATAGAGGGTGCACCTCTCGCAACTCTGCACCCATGGATTATTCCCTGAGCCTGTGCTTGTTGTAATAGCAAGGAGAGCCCTTCTGCACAAATAATAAATAGATATGGAGATAAGAGATCTCCTTGCCTAAGGCCGCGGGTTGGAGTAATAGGTACACTTCGGGATCCATTCAACTTGATATTATATGACACAGTAGTGACGCACAGCATGATAAGATCCACCCATGTATTATTGAAACCCAATGCCAGTAACATATTACGCAGGAAGGGTCATTCCATTCGATCATATGCTTTTGCCATATCCAGCTTTAAAGCACCCCAACCCACCATACCACATTGTTTCCTATTTAAATAATGACGAACTTCTGCAGCAATCAAAATATTATCTGTAATCAGCCTGTCAGGTATGAATGCACTCTGTGTATTCGAAATAATCTCATCCATCAACGGTTTCATTCTGGTTGTAATCATCTTGGCCATGACCCTGTATACCACATTACTTAGTGCTATGGGTCTAAGATCTGAGACCCGTTCTGGGTTCTTCTTCTTCGGTATTAGAACTATATCAGTAGCATTCAAACTTGCTGGTAAGGATCGTGTATTTAGACAATCCACAATAAAATCTGACACATCCTCTCCCACCACATCCCAGAAATGCTGATAAAATCTCGGATTCATTCCATCCGGGCCAGGTGCCTTGTCCGGAAACATGGCAAAAAGTGCTGTTTTTACTTCCGCTTTCTCAAAAGGGCGCAATAGAGCATCATTCTGTGTGTGTGATACTCGGGGCAAGATATTGGCATAAAAACTTCCATCCATCTCAGCTTGATTTGACGAGAAGATATCTCGGTAATAATCAAGAATAACAGTTCTCATGGCATCTCCCTCCACCCAATCCCCATTGTCATTCATAATTTTAGAGAGTGAATTTTTCTTTTTACGGTGAGAGGCATACCTGTGATAGAACTTCGTGTTCGCGTCTGCCCCCTTTAGCCAGTGCTGTTTTGCTCTTTGTCTCCAAAATGCATCCTCTTGTACTTCTAGTTGGGCAAGGCGTTCCTCTAGCCGCTGATATTCGGCTAGAGAAACCTGATCTGTATGTCCACGCAGCCGCAACTGCTCCTTCCGGAGACACTTAATTTGCTCCTCAAACTTGTGGAATCTATCACCTCCCCATCGCAATAGTTTGTTACCACAGAGTTCGATACGGGCCTGTAAACCCCTATCTCTCCCCTCAGTCCATGTCGTCTCGACTACACCTCTACATCCTTCATCATGCAACCAGGCCATCTCAAAACGGAACCCTCTCCTCCCACCACCCGTCCTTTCCCGAAGATTCAGAATCCCAAGGAAAAGAGCAGAATGATCTGAGCGTCGGGTTAGAATGTTTAAGACAGTGGCCTCTCTTACCACATCCCGCCATTCCTGAGTGACCAGCACTTTATCCAACTTCTCCTCAATCCAGTCCACAGTCCCTTCTCCCCTTTCCCAGGTAAATGGGTACCCTTGCATAGGTAACTGAGCCAAGCCACACTCATCAATGGTATCTCCAAAGCCACGTAACAGTGCCTTAGGATGGGGATTCCCCCCTCGCTTCTCATACTGGTACAGAAGATCATTAAAATCCCCTATAACCACCCATGGTAACTCAGAGCGGTGTGATAGAGATTTGATGAGTTCCCAAGCGTCATTCCGTCTTCCCCTTTGTGCAAAACCATAGAATCCTGTCATTCTCCATCTATTAAAACCTCGCATAGTCACCTCTACATCCACATGATTTCTAGAGTAGCCCAATAAACTTGCTGTACCATTCGTTCTCCATAATAACGCCAATCCTCCTTTTGTACCTATACTGTCAACTTTAAAAACACCATCGAAACCAAGTTTAACCCGGAGTCGCTCCGCGTGATCCTGGCCAACCATAGTTTCCATTAGAAATACAAAGTCGGGTTTCTTATTGGACACCATGTCCACAATCTCGCGAACTGTTCGTGGATTACCCAAGCCACGACAGTTCCAACTCAATGTACTCATGATGATGGGCGGGCCTGGGAACCAGCACCCGCCGTAAACAAGTTTTTTGAGAGATCAGTCATCAACACATCACCACCTTCTCTGCTCACTGCACCACCATCACCTTCCCGCCGGCGTTTTGCTACTGCCGTGACCGTATCCTCATCAGATTCACGGTCCAGTACAGGTACCTCATAGGCTACTTCTCGCACACTACTACCACTCGTAGTCCCCTGTCCTTCAGCCGGTACCAACCACCCTTCCCCAACCGCTCTCGGTCCTCTCTTCAGCCCTGCCCTCAACTCTGCTGAAAAAGGATACTGTTCCACCGGAATATTAGCATTCCGTGCATGAATACAAAATTTGTATAAATGTCCCAAGAGTCCACAATAAAAGCAGAAATTGTGCAAAGCTCATACTTAAACGTGACCCAGCATGTTGATTTGTCACGTTTAACAAAATTCATACGTCTCTTGATCGGCTTGTCCACAGGGATAGCCACCCGAATACGATAGAAAGCCTTCCACGGTACATTCGCAAAGCGATTATCAAATTTAACAAAAGTGCCAAGATAGTTACCAATTTGTTCAAGGATCTTGTCCGAAGTATGCCCCATAGGTAACCCATGTACCTGAACACCTTGCACCGGTTGCCATACCGAAGCCAGGACCTCCCGCATAAATTCCAACTTGACTAGCCTGCGTGTCAAGAATCGCCCAACCAGCGACCAAGTCTGGCTTGCAACCGCCGGCAACTCCTCTTCATCATCCAAGATTGGTTCGAATTGCGCTGCCTCCTCTTCTTCTATCGCCAAATCCGCCCATCTTTTTGTCATACCTTCCACCGCAATTTGCTCATTGAAAGTCGCCATGCATACAGTAACACAACACCACCAGATGGTTCGAAACGCTACTGTGTTAATCCTTCGCAATCTTCCGGTAACAAACTGCCGGAGGAAATTATGGGAATTGTAGGGAAAACCTAGGAAAAACCTAGTAGTGGAGAGAAAACCCTAGAATTCTAGAGAGGGAATTTTTAGTAGAGTCTACTCTCAAATTTAAACAGTTAAACATTCTAATTGTTTATGTTTCCACAAATATCTTCAATAAAAAAAAAAAAAAGAAAATGCATAATTTAGATAAGAGCAAATTCATAATTGTTATTAAGAGGTTCTTGCAGAAAAAAAAAAAAAAACAAAAACAAAAACAAAAAAAATAAAAAAACACCAAAACTAAGGAGATGTTTTTGCGATGCACGGAAAATATGTTATAAAAATATACCATATATGAGGTTTATTCATATATAAAATTTTTGTTATTTAATAATTATTATGTGTGAATTCCTATGATAAAATTATGAACATAAATATATTTACAATTAAAATAATATTTAAGGTGGGTGATTACTACAAATCTTAAACTATATTAAAAATTTAGTACATAATATTTAATATTACAAATTTTTAAGAACTTAGTAAACTACAATAGTAATTGAATTACAATTTTAGAGTCACCACGGATCAAAATTTTTAGACCTTTGAGATTTCTAACTCTAGATGTAGCAACATACAATTGACCTTTAAAGACCAAACAATCACAATCTTTGTTCGAACATTGATTTTTTTCTTCCAAATACTTCAAAATTAAGTGTGTAATCGATAAAAGATGAGAACTAATCATTCGAGAATATAATTTTAATGTTACTAAGCCTACTTCACATCAATTAAGTTGGAGAGTGTTGTTGGATAGTATCCGATGAATCCACGAATAACGCATCTTTGTCTCCGTAGTCCTCGATATGCACATCAACAATCCTAAATATTAGGCCGCCTAGCTATGCTATATATTAATTTCAAACTTATGGTCTTTGGAGTTGCACATGTGGTGTGCATGTATGCTTCTTAAAGTCATATGGTCTTGTGAAAATTTTAAATGCTGTTAATACCAACATTTAACCATTAATATCAATATTTAATTTTCACAAGATCATATGACTTTATTATAATTAAGATTAAGATGGGGAAGGTAATTTTTTTTTGAAGTTTTTATCCATGCAAAACCAATTTTTTTATGGGCCCATTTTTGAAAAGAAATACTCATAAATTGCACATTTTGTGCCCTTCTGTGTGCCCTCATACACGAACTAACAAAAACCAAGCAAAATCCTAGACTATTGAGATTGCTCTAACTCCATCTAAAGATGAGTTGGCAAACTAAAGGATACCAATGTTTTCTATATTGACAAATTCATCTTCACCAATATCCACATTGTTTACAGCCCTGAAACACATTTTTAATTTTTTTTTATTCTTTGTTTATTGGGTTGGAATTTAAAATTAAAAAAAAAAAGGATAAAAATGATTTTATAAACAATTTTTTTTTTCAATCGATTTTTTTTTAGTCGAAAATGCTTTTTCTACCTAGGAAATTGGATTTTGAATTTTTGATTAATTAGGAAATAGTATGTCCGTTTGGTTCGGGGAAAATATTTGAGGGAAAAAATAGAATTGAAATTTCATGAAAAATAGATTACTTTTTTTTTTGAAAGGAATAAATTACTTGTTGGTAGAAAAGAAATTATTAGAAAAATATTGATTACATTGTTTGGTTGGGGTTGGGATGGTAATAATGAATAAAGAGTATAAATACTAAAAATGCCTCCTCTACACAGTGATAATCCTTAATTATAATAAAGCCACAATTTTTTGTAATAAAAAAATATTTCTCATTTTCCTGCTTAGTGGAAATGGTGTCGTTTTACTATGGTTTTGTAATTATGCGCAATTGAGCAAAGTTTTATAGGGTTATACTCTTGTTAATACATTAATTAAAGAATCCTTTCACATTTCGATTAAACGTCATTTACGTTTGCTTTTATAATTCCGGCTCGATGCATCGTTTCTATAACCCAAGGTCTTGATAATGCATTAGACGACTGTATAAATAAATCCCCGTGAAAAGATTTTAGTTCATATCAAACACTTCAACTCCAGATTTTGGGTTCCTGTAGAATCACCTTGGCACCAATGTACATTCTTGCACGAAATATTTCTCCCCTGAAAATTTCATATGTAATGAAAGTATGATTGGCCCGTACCTATGACATTGCAGAAATAAGAGGAAGTGAAGTAATCAAATGTAGGGAGTGCCTCTTTCACGATGAAGAGGTATTTTGTTTATTTGTTTCCTTCTTTTTTTTTTTTTTTTTTAACGGCAAAAGGTGAGGTCAATCAATAAATAAGTGATAGGTAGTCATTAAAAAAAAAAAAAAACCTTATTAAACAATATATATATATATATATATATATATATATATATATATATATATATATATATATATATATATATATATATATATATATATATATTAGCGCTCAAATGCGGCAGTGGCTTTAGGTGCGGCGGTGCGGCTATATCAACATCGTCCATTTTGCTTAATCTAACGGCAGCGGCTAATTTCTGAAGATTTAAAGATTTAAGCGCGTCCTGATAAGTGGGGGGTGTTATGGTAATTGTAGTGGTCATTTATATCGGCCGCTTGTCAGAATACACCAACAGTGTTAACAAAAGACACCAATAGTGTTAGGAAAAAGCACCACAATGAAATGCACAAATACACCAAAAAACACACAACACACTCAAAAAATACACCATATAACTCACCACCCCAATGATGTATTTCTGAACACTGTGTGGTGCTTTTATTCATACCTAATGGTGCGTTCTGGTGATGCATATCTAATTTGTGATATGTTTTTTTGGTGTGCATTTTCTAACATGGATGGTGTATATTTGTATAACTATTAGTGCACCCGCACTGACCGCATGGGAAGGCGCGGGCGCACCTAAACTTGGCACCAACACGAATCCTCAAATACACCACAGTAAGGTTAATAATGCACCAATAACGAACATAAAACACACAACACTATGATTTGATCTATTCAGGTGCCCAATGACGACTTTAACCTTGCAGTTCGCGTAGTGTGAGAACGTGCGCGAAAATATCGGAAAAGCCTGGATGAATGTGATTCGTTGAATTTATCTAATCTAATGGCCTACATTTAACCGCACCGCCGCACCTAAGCGCACTACCGCACTTGAACCTTCCTATATATATATATATATAATATTAAATTGTGATTTTAGTAAGCCAAAATAATTTATTTATTTTTTCTATAAGTGAGGGAAATATCTCTACACAAAAATGTTGCTCCCACTATCTCATTTTTAGTATCAAATTCATTATTCATTAATCAACTAAATTCTTCCTTTTATATTTAATTTTTTTTAACATTTGCTTATAATTTTAAATTCTTCTTTTATTTTTAATAATACTTTTGATGAAATTTATAACTATATCATTTTTATGTGCAAAAATTAAATTAAATATTACAAAAAAAAAAAGGTTAAATTGTGAAAATTTTGAATTAAACTTTGCTAAGAACCATACATATAAAATGAGATGAAAGGTATCCTATAACGAAACTTCGAGTTTGAGTAATTAATGATGTTTAGGAAATAATTTGATTCAAATTTAAAAAAAAAAAAAAAAAAAAAAAAAAAAGGATTTAAGAGGAAAACTAGGTTCAAGTCAACAAAAATTTGTAAGATTTTCCCTAATAATATGTTATATATTAGGGCCTTAATTAAGTGGTGCAAGTTCACTAGGCTTATTAAGTGGTCTCGTTGGATTGAATAACTAGAAGTTGTTAGTCCATCAAACTCTATGCCTAATATAATCCTATCAAACTCTATGCCTAATATAATCCTGAATTGATGGGATACATGATGTTTTTGATGATATAGCACATTCAGTTACGGTACTCATAATGGCAAATAATGGCTAACGGTCTACCGTTCTACCGTTAAGAAGCAACACAACAGGTACATCAACGGGAAGCAACACAA